TATAGAAGATATCACAACGTTCTTTCTTTGATAAATTTGGCTCAATAGACTAGGCGGATAAAAAATTAATCTATTGAATCATCCTCAAAATTATTTTGGGATCTACGATATTTGCTATAGTTACTTGGAACTCATCATGTGGTCATGACGAGTTTCAATAAAAGATATTATTTTTGTTGGAACTAGTCACTCCAACGTCATAATGTAACGCCCCGAATCCTGAGTGAAGAGTTTCAGGTCAATCCGAGAGAGGTTTGAATAAACGCAATAGTCTTATGAAAGCCTTAGTCCAAGAGTTATTGGTTTGGGCTTGAGTTGGGCCCATTATGTGCTAAAAAGGGGGATTTTCACTACAACAAAATAAGGTTTTAGCGGCGTTTTTTATTCATATAGCGACATTTTTAAGCGTCGTTAAAAACCTTTGTGACGAAAAAATGCCGCAAAAGCATCGCTAAAACCAACGCCGCAAAAGGTAGCGACATTTTTCGTCTACAAATGCCGCTAAAGGTTATGAGTTTTTTTCGCAAAAAAAAACCTCGCAAAAAACCTTTAGCTAAGTAAAAGTTTAGCCAAGCATGGATTGGATCATGCTTAGCATTGTGAAAAGAAAATAATGAAAGAAAACAAAGAAAGAAAGATAGAGATGAAAGAAAAGTATAACTTCAATAAATAACCAAGTAAAATAAATTTCAATATGAGTTTCAACTGTTGAATCTAAGGAGTATTTATAACTTGAGAGTTTTAAGCAAATAAAATAACTCATTCCTAAATTAATCAAACTAAAAACCCTAATAAGAGTTCTAATAAAATAACTAATTCTTAAATAAAATAATAACAAAATAATCAAACTAAAAAATCCTAAATTAAAAAGGTTTATCACAAAAGATAAATATTTAAGTCTTCTAGTTGAATTCTTCTTTATCTTCTGGATAACCTTGTCCCATGTCAATTCCAAATTAAATATTCAAGGAAGTTCTGCTTGTCTTCTATAAGATGTTGAATGAATTATTGAAATCTACTAGTTTTTAGGTTAATTAATCCAATGAAGATCATGTCTAAAATAAACTCAAAATAAAAGATAAATCAGTAATATCCAAGCAATAAATGAGAAGTAAATAATAATAAAAATATGTAATATTAAACTCTCATCAGTACTATTGGTTGGGAATCTATGCTCGCATGGTAGTATTGATACCCATATCACTTAGCACATTCCAGTATATAATTTTGGTATCAATACTCATGGGGGTATCGATATCGGTATTGGTACCCTCTATAGGGGTATTATTACTCAACTATTTTTCAAAACATCAAAGAAAAAATTGGTATCTATACTCAAGCCAATATCGATACCCTAGCTTAAGTGTATCGATACTAATCCAATAGTATCGATATCATCGCTTAACCTATAGCTCGTTTTAACCCGACAGTATTGATACTCAAAGGTGAGTATCGGTACCCACAGACATTTTCGGACAAGAAGCCCAAGAGATTTAGGAAGGGTAATTGAGGGACCCAAGAATGCTATAATATCCTTAAATAAGACTTCATGTGGGAACTCTTATTAATAGCTAATTACAACTAGAAACGCCATTAATTAGGATGATATAAAACTAGTCTTGGTTGACGCTCGGGAAAACGACAAGGACACCCGAGTTACTCTAGTCGACAATGATAGTATCGAAGTGTAGACTGTCTAGATATTAGTGCGCAAGGCACTTAAGACTAACCATGGCACAAGGCCTCAACACTCACAAGGGGTGGGTTAGTTGGATGTTGTATTCAATGTAGTAATTTTGGATCCTCACCCTAGGTAGACTAGAGGGGTACACGAGATTTGAGATACAATATTCCCTTAGTCGTACCATGGCGTCTACCCTATAGTAGAGTGAGTATGTGAGCATATTCACTTTATGTATTGCACTGGATAGCTTTATTATCGACGAACACTCTTAGTATGATTTTGTTATTAGTGTGACACTAAGCTAGTGAGCCCAGCGTTTGGAATTTTGTTTCCGTTCGTAGGTATTTAGAGGAGCACTTGAGGAGCCAGTCACTTTACAAACGTTCCAGACCACCGAGCAGTTAAAGTACATCTTGAGTCTTACTCATTTAGAGGCATTATTCATAGACCTTCATGTATTCAAGTCGTAATTTATTTGATACTCGTTTGTATTATTTGGTACATATGTTAGGAGCTCCCCGGTACTATAAACATATATTTATTTTGCTTTGCTTTGCTTTTATAGAACTTAAATGATTGTTGATATTTTTATAGTCGTTTTGAAAAGAAATTTTTTCGGGTTTGCCGCTCCGGTGGTTCTGTGTGACGTTCTAATCGGTCGACTATATGTCGTATTGGATTAGGGTGTTACACACAAATTTTAATAAAAAAATTATATTTTTTGAAACATGTCACGTCGGCGTGACGAGTTTGAATAAAAAATAATATTTGGGAAAACTCATCACGTGGACGGAATGAATTTCCCCTATATTGTAGCATTTGTCATAGATCCCAAATTAATTTCAAAGCCTGATGGGCCAATTTTTTTACCCGCTTGGCCTATTGAGTCAATTTTGCCTTCTTTATTTAGTAGAAAGATTAAAAAAAACGTTTCTTTTTCTATTTTGACATAAATATAAGTAACTAAATTTATTGAGATAAAAAATATCTAAAATTACAATGAAGGTTTATAATTAGAAATCGTAAAGTAAACATATAACAAGGACATTCTCTTATAACTATTAGTACAAGAAACTAGTCACTTAAGATTAAATAAGGAACATACAAGGAAAAAGGTAAAAAACTAAAAAACCTATCCAAAATAATTGAATAAAAGATAGATACAAACAGATCTGATTACTATAGAAAATGAACCACGATATTAGATTAAAATATCAAAAAATCACCGGAAAACACAAATTAGATCCAAATATTGTGATAAAAGTATATACGAATGCAGGTTGTGTATCCAAATCTAATTTAAAGATCTGAGGTATGGAAGATCAACATGATAGCAAATGAGTGTCATATTGATCAGTTACGACGACGTCAAATCAAACTCTGAAAAAAATAAACAATAAAAATGATAAAACAATCGAAAATGTGTCAAAAGATAAAAGAAAAATGTACTACAAATGTATAAAAAAATAAACAAAATTAAAAATGCAAAAACCAAAAACACAAAGAAATACCGACCACAGTAAGTAGCACCAGGATTGATGAGCCCGCATTCCAACCAAAGATTTGAAAGAAAGAAAATGATCGTAAATATTGCAGCATAAGCCTTATCGTATATATAAGGAGCATTTTCTCCTTTACTTGTAAGTAATGTTTTCAAAATCTGACCGGATATTGAATCGGTAGAAGTATTGGTTTATTGATTTACTGGTTCAATCAGGTTTAATCGTAGTTGAATCAGATTTTATATAAAATAATATATTTTTTTAATTTTACATAATATTCAAAGCAATATTAATATATATGTAACATTTTTTTTTAAGTTTACAATATTAAAAGGTATAAAAATATCATAAGTCATAACATGTATAAATGAAAAACCATAAAATCAAGTGAAACAAAATGATTCAAAACAATTACAACATAATATTTAAGGTAAAACATATTAAATAATAAATATAATTATATAACTATAATTAAAAAAATAAAATTGGGGCTTAAAAAATTATAACAAATGATATCATTTGGTTTAATTGTTTAAAAAAAAACAATCCCACATGGCTAAGAAACATAGAAGAGTATCCCAAAAGTTTAAAGAGTATAAATATGATAACAAAACAATCTCACATGGCTAAGAAACATAGAAGAACATCCCAACTTACTTCTATAAATAATAGAGGTAATTTGACATTCAAAATCATGGAGCTTTTTGGTGAGCACAAAGCGAACTATTCTTTCGCTTCAATTGAGCTCAAATTTTAGGCTTCAATTGAGCTCAAATTTTAGGCTTCAATCGAGCTCAAATTTTAGGCTTCAATCGAACTTCTAAATTTTTTTTGAGTTCGAGCCTTTTCGATTTCAAGTTTTAATATTATATTTTGAGTTGATAATTTTTAGCTCGTGAGTTTTTGAGTCGAGTTGAGCTTACTTTTAAAGTTTTCGAGTTCGAGTCGAGCTCAGCAATACTCGAATTTGACTCGGCTCGTTGAACAAGCGACGTCGTTTGGTTTAATTTTTTTTAAAGAAAAAAAGTAAACCGGCGGTTCAAACCGATTTTGCCGGTTTTCAGCCGGTTCACCTCGGTTTTCCTGGTTTTCAGCCGATTCTTCTGGTTCTTTACCAGTTCTGTGCTAATCCGGTTTTGGGAGTTAACCGGACCGGATAGGCCACCGGTTCACGATTTAACCGGTCGAACAGGCCGGTCCGGTCCGATTTTAATAACATTGCTTGTAAGTACTTGTGATATGTACTAAAATATGATAGAACTCTTTTTGGCGGGGTTTAACAGGTGGTGATAATCGTAAGTTGGGGCCTTTTAAGATTAGCTTTGTGTCCCAAAGAAATTTGATGAGCTGAGATCTTGGAATCGTCATTGTATTACTTGGCAAGCATACATTTCTAAGTGGATTCTCGTATATGTAGAGTTTTCAAAGCTAGATAATTTTTACAGGATTGATGTTTAGACGCTACAGTCTAGAGGAGCTTGTTTGCAGCCGAACAGCGTTAAACAATTCGGTGAACTTGGACAGCGCATGAAGCTTGAATTTGAATTACTTTGATAATTAAAGCTGTTTTCCTTTCATCTCCTTTCACGGCAGAAAAACTAATCTCTGTGAGAAAATCTCCCCACATGTACCAAGCTCCTTCAAGGCATTATTTTCATTGGGTTAATTGCTGGCAAGTACTTTTTGATATAATAATTTATTTCGTTTCTACAAAGTAATCTGTTCTGAAGACCTCCTAATTCAAACAAGTGAAAACAGCATGAGGCCATGAATGCAATTTTGTCTCATCAGATATGCTGCATTCTAATTGAAAATCAGGCAATGTGCTCCGGAAAAGTGAGGATCTGGACATGCTTTTTCTGCCTCGGCCCATGTGGGACAGGGCCGAAAACTCTGGTCCCTATCGGCTGACCTTGCTTGTCAACGAGAACAACTGCGTTGTCATCAAACTTGACCTCAATCCCGTCACAACGACCTCGCTGCATGGAAGCACGCACAACTACACCGGATAGCACCTTCCCTTTCTTCACCTTTCCATTAGGCATGGCTCCTTCACAGATGCAATTATGGTGTCTCCCAATCTTGCCCCTTTCTTCCCCTACAACGGTTGTATGCACATCACCTTTTTTGCCCCCGAGTTGTCCACTACTTTGAGAACAGTTCTCATCTGTATAAAAGTCCTTCGTTGCTGCAGAATGAGACGAAATAATAAGGTTACCTTTGAAAGAGAATAATCACAAATGCAATCATCACAGAACCGTAAGAGAATTGTCTGGACTTAACCTGTGTTTGTTTTCACTGTTCCACCTCTTCAAACCTCTTATGTCTGCCACTCGCAGACATTAGGCTTCGCAGACCGTTTGTTTTTTAGAAGACAGAAGCTCTTCTAACGTCTGCGCGAGCTCTTCTTGGTGCAGATATGGTTTTATGTCTTCAAAGGTTTTCAAACATATTCAAGAACAATTATAAAATATGGTTATTTATTAAAATAATTTTAAATAATTTAATAAGGTTATTTATTTTAAAATAATTTATTTTAAAATAATTAATTTTAAAATAATTTATTATAAAATAATTAATTTTAAAATAAATTATTATAAAATATGGATTGATTTATTTTAAAATAAATTATTTTAAATAATTTATTAGTATGTATTGATTTATTTTAAAATATGGATTGATTTATTTTAAATAATTTATTAGTATAGATTGATTTATTTTAAAATATGGATTTATTTATTTTAAATAATTTATTAGTATGGATTGATTTATTTTAAAATATGGATTGATTTATTATTGTAGTTGTATGGATTGATTTATTTTAAATAATTTATTAGTATGGATTGATTTATTTTAAAATATGGATTGATTTATTATTGTAGTTGTATGGATTGATTTATTTTAAATAATTTATTAGTATTGATTGATTTATTTTAAAATATGGATTGATTTATTATTGTAGTTGTATGGATTGATTTATTTTAAATAATTTATTAGTATGGATTGATTTATTTTAAAATATGGATTGATTTATTATTGTAGTTGTATAGATTGATTTATTTTAAATAATTTATTAGTATGGATTGATTTATTTTAAAATATGGATTGATTTATTTTAAATAATTTATTAGTATGGATTGATTAATTTTAAAATATGGATTGATTTATTATTGTAGTTGTATGGATTGATTTATTTTAAATAATTTATTAGTATGGATTGATTTATTTTAAAATATGGATTGATTTATTATTGTAGTTGTATGGATTTATTTATTTTAAATAATTTATTAGTATGAATTGATTTATTTTAAAATATGGATTGATTTATTTTAAATAATTTATTAGTATGGATTGATTTATTTTAAAATATGGATTGATTTATTATTGTAGTTGTATGGATTGATTATTAGTATGTATTGATTTATTTTAAAATATGGATTGATTTATTATTGTTGTTGTATGGATTGATTTATTTTAAATAATTTATTAGTTTGGATTGATTTATTTTAAAATATGGATTGATTTATTATTGTAGTTGTATGGATTGATTTATTTTAAATAATTTATTAGTATGAATTGATTTATTTTAAAATATTGATTGATTTATTATTGTAGTTGTATGGATTGATTTATTTTAAATAATTTATTAGTATGGATTGATTTATTTTAAAATATGGATTGATTTATTATTGTAGTTGTATAGATTGATTTATTTTAAATAATTTATTAGTATGGATTGATTTATTTTAAAATATGGATTGATTTATTATTGTAGTTGTATGGATTGATTTATTTAAATAATTTATTAGTTTGGATTGATTTATTTTAAATAATTTATTAGTATGGATTGATTTATTTTAAAATATGGATTGATTTATTATTGTAGTTGTATGGATTGATTTATTTTAAATAATTTATTAGTATGAATTGATTTATTTTAAAATATGGATTGATTTATTATTGTAGTTGTATGGATTGATTTATTTAAATAATTTATTAGTTTGGATTGATTATTTTAAATAATTTATTAGTATGGATTGATTTATTTTAAAATATGGATTGATTTATTATTGTAGTTGTATGGATTGATTTATTTTAAATAATTTATTAGTATGAATTGATTTATTTTAAAATATGGATTGATTTATTATTGTAGTTGTATGGATTGATTTATTTAAATAATTTATTAGTTTGGATTGATTTATTTTAAATAATTTATTAGTATGGATTGATTTATTTTAAAATATGGATTGATTTATTATTGTAGTTGTATGGATTGATTTATTTTAAATAATTTATTAGTATGAATTGATTTATTTTAAAATATGGATTGATTTATTATTGTAGTTGTATGGTTTGATTTATTTTAAATACTTTATTAGTATGGATTGATTTATTTTAAAATATGGATTGGTTTATTTTAAATTATTTATTAGTATAGATTGATTTATTTTAAAATATTGATTGATTTATTATTGTAGTTGTATGGATTGATTTATTTTAAATAATTTATTAGTATGGATTGATTTATTTTAAATAATTTATTAGTATGGATTGATTTATTTTAAAATATGGATTGATTTATTTTAAATAATTTATTAGTATGGATTGATTTATTTTAAAATATTGATTGATTTATTAAAATAGTTGTATGGGTTGATTTATTTTAAATAATTTATTAGTATGGATTGATTTATTTAAAAATATGGATTGATTTATTTTAAATAATTTATTAGTATGTATTGATTTATTTTAAAATATGGATTGATTTATTATTGTAGTTTTATGGATTGATTTATTTTAAATACTTTATTAGTTTGGATTTATTTATTTTAAAATATGGATTGATTTATTTTAAATAATTTATTAGTATAGATTGATTTATTTTAAAATATTGATTGATTTATTATTTTAGTTGTATGGATTGATTTATTTTAAATAATTTATTAGTATGGATTGATTTATTTTAAAATATAGATTGATTTATTTTAAATAATTTTTTAGTATGGATTGATTTATTTTAAAATATGGATTGATTTATTATTGTAGTTATATGGATTGATTTATTTTAAATAATATATTTGTATGGATTGATTTATTTTAAAATATGGATTGATTTATTATTGTAGTTGTATTGAATGATTTATTTTAAATAATTTATTAGTTTGGATTGATTTATTTTAAAATATGGATTGATTTATTTTAAATAATTTATTACTATGGATTAATTTATTTTAAAATATTGATTGATTTATTATTGTAGTTGTATGGATTGATTTATTTTAAATAATTTATTAGTATGTATTGATTTATTTTAAAATATGGATTGATTTATTTTAAATAATTTATTACTATGTATTGATTTATTTTAAAATATAGATTGATTTATTATTGTAGTTGTATAGATGATTTATTTTAAATAATTTATTAGTATGGATTGATTTATTTGAAAATATGGATTGATTTATTTTAAATAATTTATTATTGTAGTTGTATGGATTATTTAAATTTCAATATTGTAAAACTAAAATTATTTAAATCTCAGTATTGCAAAACTCTTTTAAGTTTAAAAAGTCAGTTTATTTATATTTCAGTTCATTTTAGTAGTCTGCATACGTTAAAAAACAAACAGTCTTATTTTTGCATACTACAGACTTTTTGTTTACCTCTTCTGCTACATATGCTTGCAGATGTGATCCACAGACTGCATACCTTTATCTTTGCAAAAACAAACACCACCTTCTCATAGCATCGAACATTGAACAAAATATGATAACACCGACTTCAAGCTGCGAGAACAGTTATCCTATTCAAATAAGCTATGTGAATCCTAACACGAGATTCATAATATAGCTTTCATTAACGATATGTTTAACTCCTGTCAAAACCACTCAAAATTACCGTCGAACCATTATGCTGATCTTTCGAAAGCTGACTAGGGTTCTCATCATCTTTGATGCTTAAGCAGCAAGTAAAAAGCAAGGGAACGCTCATCCCAATCTTGATGCTGATTGGAAATGCCTAACTCCTTGAATCATTTAGGTTAATAAGACATGCATGAATGAAAATTTTATCCCACAAAAAATGACATATGACCAACCTTTTCGAACCTGTTTCCACAGGCTTGTCTATTCCCAGAAGTTTGGGGACCTTATCCCAATTTTCCAAGGATAATATAGAATCAAGAATGAACACTAGCATGCACTCCATGTGAATGATTTCACAGATCATAATACAAGCTTAAATGAAACAATATGCCAGAGGTCACTCTGACCTGATACAGGAAACTGCCACACAGTCTCTCTTGATGTGCTTGGTAAATTAGCAAAGTTGTTTCGAAGGCCATCCATCAACGAAAGACCCACTACATATACCGTATAGTCAAACAAAAGATAGAGAAACGAGGGTTTGGTAAATTAGCTAAATGAATTTTGTACAAGGAGATGGAGACGATTAGGTTAGAACGTGAGAGATTGAGGGGACGATTGGGTTTGGGCTCAAGCTAAAGTAGGCTTAGCCCAACATATTATATGCGCCTCAAATAAATGTTTATTTTCTTTTTCTTTTTGTCTGGCATTCTTTATTTTCTTCAATAAATTATGAAAGAAAAAAATTCTTATTTTGGTTTGACCATTCTTCAATAAATTTTTTATTTTCTTCAATTAACTATATTGAAAGAATGAGTTATTGATATAAAAACGTGGGCATGCAGCACTCTCTCAGAGTAAAATCAAAGACCTAAGAAACTGTATAATTAGCTCTTTCACTCTCACTCGTAGCTTAGATTCTTAAGCTACATGTATGTGTTTGTTCCGTAAGTTAATCAGCCGGTTATTTATCATAATAGGAAAACATATGTAGTTTTGCGTTTATTGTTCTTATAAAGATTTAGACCTTAATTAAAACAAGATGGCCGAGTTGGTACATGTCGCCAGTTTTAGAAACTGCATGGGTTCAAATCCCATTCGACAGTTTTTCTTTCCAACACATTTTAGGTTTTTATTATATAAATATTTTTTAATGTTAGGCTTCTATTATATCTAAAATTGAATTAGAATGTATTCATAATCAAATAAAAAAATTATAGTAGAATTATCTTTCGATACATAATATTCAATCCAAAAATTTTATTTTGAAAGCATCCAATTTCTTATCGCTAAACTAAAAGAATGAACCTTGGGCGATAAAAGATGGTAGAAGAAATTAAGTATATTCATAAGTTGCGTTTGTGTCCCAGATATCTGAAATCAGGACCTCTGTGTTGACCCAGAAAACAGACAAAATATTCAGTACCAAACCAACACAGCACATGGAGGTGAAAAAAAGAAGAAAAACCTGTAAAAACTTGAACAGAAAGTGAAAGGAAGCTCAATATTACCGCAGCTTAATTATTTCCCCAGACAATGACAGTTGCAATGGAGAGAGAGACAGGGACTTATCAAATGCAATAATAAAATCCAGTCTGTTTTCGTTTTCAGCTTCTGGCATCGAGAAGTCAGCCAAATGCATTGATCCTTGATGGATTGCACGCCCTCCCTTTTCACCACGACACGTGCCTCTGCTTCTTATTCTCTCTCTCCACTCTGCATCTAAATAATATACAAAATCATCAAATCCAACACCAACGCATGTGATTGTTCCTCTGCTAATGCCCTACCCCATCAGTTTTCTTTTTTATTTCACATATATATGGGGTTCGTACTCGGTGCAGAAATAATGGAGGCCATCATCTTTGAGAGATCGATAAAGGATTGCTTTTGCTTTTACTTAATGGATTCTATGGAAGCCATTATCATATATATATATATATATATATACATATATTATCCACGTCTTTGGTTTTATACATTTTCAACTTATTGGAGCATTAAGGCTAACCCTCACGTTTTAAATGATTCTATTTTAGTGCGCTGCTCTTCCTTTTCTTATTTTTAGTAATTATATAGCTGAAATATGAATAGCGATTTTGAATTTAAATTCTCATAAGAATTTTATTACCACCTCAATAATTAAGCTAACAAATCATACGATAATAAAGAAATCTAATAACATCTTTTTATCTTTGATCTTTTTTCAAATCATTTTAGCTTTTATTTTATTTTATTCACTTTTTGACCTTTAAAGTTTTAAAAAGGTGCTTCATAAAAATAGCTTAATCATCAAGCGGGGAGCTTGAAAATTGTGTTTTTTTTGGTGTGGGGGTGGATAATCATTTCTACGTCTTGGCTATTTTATATTTTTTTTACAGTATATTAAAGATAAAGTAATATTTGGTCTTTGATCATTTTTTAAAATTTATTCTTAATATTTTATTTTATTCACATAATCACATTAATTGTGTAAATTAATAATTCTTTTTAAATTAATAATTAGATTTAAATTTTAAAATTTTCTGATAATGTGATATTATGAAATTATATTATAGAAAAAATAGAGTTGGAGACTGATAATGCAGATATATCTATATAATTCTCACTCTGTCACTTGCAAATCTTAGGTGCCCCATGAGAATGTCATCGTCGAATCTATTCATGAGTTTTCCAACTTAATTGGGAGCGAGACCAAATCATATGAGACGAGAACAATATAACACAATAAACACTCTAACAGTTGATAAACATAATGATTTAATTGACCAAATTATATTTAGTTCCTTTAATGAGAATGCTACTTCAATGAAGTGTACATGATGATTAACATTCTCTTTCTCTATTAACAAAAAAAATACTACTTACGTTCTAAAATAAAAAATACAAAACCTAACCCCGAATGAAATATGAGTAGTGCTGTGTTTACTTAAGTATTATATAAAAGTAATTGGTTTTCAACCATATTGGTTAATTATAAATTAATATTTATTTATAATATTTTAGTATTCGGATAAAACATAATGGTAGAATTAGTTGTTTGAATTTAGAAATTCTAAGAAGAATAATATTTACTTTTATCGTTGAAATTCTTATGTAGGTTTAAAATAATTAAAATTTAATTTCAAGCAATCAATTTTACAATTGAATATAAAAAATATTTTTTATTAAAAAAATTAATTGAACTTGAATTTATTAAGTTTAAAAATTAATATAAAAATATTTGTTAAGATTCAAATAACCAAGTTTACAATTGGACATAAAAAATCAATTTTTTATTAAGAAAAAAATAATTGAGTTTAAATTAATTTATAAATCTCAAATTTGAAATCTACTTAATGGGAAAATTATCGTTATTTGAATTCAATTCCACTGTATGGAGGTGGTGGCGCTCTTTTTGGTTGCCAGCGAAGAGACAATTTATAACAATAAATTAGCAATAATAATGCTGGTAATTATAATAAATAAATGAATGAATGAATAAATAGTGGTTGGAGGATAAAGAGACACATCATTCCTCATACGGACCGATTATTAATTAAATCCTAATTGCTTTCAAAATTTTGCTTTAAAAATGTTTTTATCCGATTAAAGTGACCCCAATAGCATCTTTCTGTACTACAAGTTATCTTTAGTGAGTTGAGTTCCAACTTGACATTTGGTTGAGCCGGTAATTATGACCCTTCGACATATAATTAAGCTTCTAGGAAGCATAATTTGCGTTGCTCCTCAACTTTCCATCATGCTAAACATTAACCATTTAATCTTAGTATAGTTACTAATTAAGTGACTACCTAAGATTTAAGATATTAATACTCAACTTATATAGTAACGGGTATCTATAAATGGTAAGTTCCATTTTATATAATAATTACTTACATCTTATTTATATTTAATATATTATTATCGAAACAGTCCTTAAGCTTTTTTGGACTATTTCGGGGAGCGATCCAACTTAATCTTGGGAAATGTTGGTTTTAAAATAAATGTATAAATAAATAAATTTGGAGTCGCCATCGACCTTTGGGTTATGTAGATCGAATACCTAAAAAATATCCCTTAAAATAATTTTAAGAAAAATAATTTTAAAAGATAAAAAGGGGTTTGCATTTAACTACAAATTCATTTTGAAAAAGGGTTCAGGAGTCGATTACGCATTGGAAAGGATTAGCACCCCATAGCGCCCAAAATTAGTACCTAAGTGATTATACGTCATCTAAATATTGAAATTTGCAAATTCGAATATACATTTAAATTATTATCCTCTTTAGAAAAAATATAAAGTGTATTATTTTACATGAACAATTCTCGAAAATACCTTTCTTGTCAGTTAAGGGGGCATTTTCATGGATTCCCCATACAAAATAATATTGCCCTAATTTTTAGATAAAATACATATATTAAATATATTTAAAAAACAAATTCATTCGAATATAAAAGGTAATATTTTGTTTGAACAATTCTTATAAATGGCTCTTTGTCAATTAAGGCGCATTTCCATAAAATGTTAGTGTTAAATAATATTTGAAAATATTACAACTACCAGTAAATTAACAAATATATAAATGACAGATCAAAATAATAAAGATGATGACTTTAAGGATTAAACTACACAACCAACATGAAATCAATGCAACCATTGCAAATATTTTTACTAACTAGGCACTGCAATCGTAAATAAACCAACTTCAATCATTCAGGACCAAAATGGAAATTATTAAAGTAAGGAACTCAAATTAAAATAATCCTAAAAAAATAAGATAACAAACAAAATGGGACTAAATAATAAAACTGGAAATTTAATGTCTCAAAAGAAAATTAAATAAATAGCACAACATATAATGTAAAAATCATATAAAACACTAAAAATGTAATAAACCATTATATTTAGGATCGAAATGTAATTATCCAATATTACATGCTGAAAATTGAAATAAACAAAAACAAATAGCTTAGGGTGACCAAACTGTAACACGCGCAAAAAGATGAGGCAAAATCATAAACTTAGGAAAGTTTTAATTCGGGACTAAACTGCAAACTCTCCAAAACTAGAGCCCCCACTCGAGCAATTTACCTAAACTCGAAACAGGTGCAACCTTAATTCCCTAAACTACGTCATTTTGGGACCTGTATATATATATATCATTATAAAAACAAATTTACCCTAGCATCTCCTTTCTCTTCTCTTCAGTCAACCCCTCTACCCTTTTTCTCTCAACTATTTCCTTTTTCTTCTTTTTTTATTTTGTTTTATATGAAAAACCAATCATTGGCCGCAAACCACCGTGGCCACCACCGTAAATCGTCCCGACAAGAGGCCAATCTCCCTCAAAAACCCCTTAAACACAATCTCCTAACCCTTTTAACCCCTAAACTAAGACTTTTCCCCCTTAAACTCCCTAAAACCATAACCCAAACTAAAATAAAAAATACCTTTGATGCTTGGCCAACTCCTTTGTCGCCGGTGGAGTCCTTAAACCCGA